GGCTTAGTCTCCATTCAAACCCAGGTTTAAAGCCTTGCAGGGCAGCATAAAGCCCACTGCCAACATTAAGACAGAAAAAAGAAAAACAAAAGGTCAGTTCAGGTGTTTTATAAAATATGTGTCAGTATGTATCAGTAAAATGTCTATTTACCAAACTGAACGATTGTTGTTCTCTACTTCAGAAAAACACTTTATATTTTAAAATTGAATTTTTTATATATATATATATATATATATTTCTTTTAAATATAAATGTTATACATTGAATTTCATAACATTTTATAAAAATTCAATGTATAACATGGATGCATAAAATCCTAATTTTATTTCAGTGTTAAATTCTTTTCAAAGTAACGGATTATAATTAAAAATGTCTCTGGACCTTTACTGGTTGTTGAGTTTCTTTATTGGGACCACGCTGATTTTTAATTGGTCTAAGGGTCTAAGGTAAGAAAATAGAAAGTAAAGTAAATGTTGACATATCCATGTAGTAGTTGATTAAGTGGATGATGCTGTCATTTTTGTAGTGTTTGTTGTATTTCTCATTTTGAAAAAGTCAACTCAAATGTACATGTACATCATTAATTTAGCACATATATCTTATTATGCTCCTTTAACACATTCATTTTAATGTGATTAATTTGTATTATATGTTATATTAGATGATTTATAGACTTGATTGACTTCCTAATGACTATGCAATGTGATGTTCCTATTTTTAAATTATAAATTAAAGTAATCTATGCTATGAAACAGCCAGTGTGTGTCAAAGTGATGAATTTATCTTTATTTAAAAGTCTTAAGTCCCCCTGAAAATGAGAACATCATCGTTGTTCGATGCTGTAGCGCACATATTGTTTACATTGCGGCCGGTCTAATAAGGGAGTGCCAATATGGCGGCCGTTGGTTTCACTTCAACCCCGTACTATTAATCAGCAATCCAGTGAATAAATAGAGATCAATGGTTTGAAAACATAGGAAGATGTCAGCTGTTGAAGTTTAATATTCAGAACGGGATCCTACATTCTGTGTCAGATCAAATCAGTTTAGAAACATTAAGATGTTGTTATGGCAGCAGCACCGAATGGCTGCCAGAAAAGGAAGACATTAAATCATTACTTCCGAAAAACAAAGCCATGACAGAACAATTCAGGCCATTTTTCTTTCTATCACGTTTCCAGCCTTGGTAGACAAAAAATAAAAATAACAGCAAATGCAGCAAACAAACACAAAGGGTGACTGATTTGTCGGGGATGACAGACTTTGATCAGACGCGGGTTCTTCCTTAAGTGATTCCCTTTTAACTGGAGTCAGAGGAACCCTCAGTTGACTATTAATTCAACAGGGAGGCTTTATGAGTCATAGCTCAGTGGCCTGGTATAAAAACACTACTTGAGATGTTAGAAAAACAAAAGCCAAATCCTTAACAAATCAACCCCTCTCCAAAGACTGCTTAGTTTCAGCGCTGTCTGGTACAAACAGCCAAAAATCGAAAACCGTTTACTAACAGTTACTGAAGACAGGAGAGTTTTATCTGAAGTACGACGACTGCATTTAGTAATAAAGGCTCATGTCAGCTCATCTTTATTCTACTGTTTAAAGTTAACTCATACGTTTTTGCATTAGGAAGCTGTGTTTTACTGCCCTGATGGCTCATTTTAACTGAAACCCATAGAAAAATAGAGAAAAGCAAGTGGCTGTGGTGGTTTTACCTGCTGGAAGCTTGTTAGAAATGTCACAGGGCTCATGGGAGCCGAGAAAACACCTCAAGAAAAGTACTAAACCCCACTGAGCCTGACCTGGTGTCTCTCTGCAGCTTACAGGAGAGATTCACTTGTTTTCGTTACAATAAAATCCTGAAGCCTCTTTGGATGTTTTTTTTTTTTTTTACACATTGTGTGTAACTTTTTTCTCACATCTAAGAGCAAAGCAGGAATGTGTTTAAAGCAGTTTCAGTGACAGTTTTGCTTATTTAAGTCAGCGTATCAGCCTGATTTTAGTGTAATTTTTAAAACTTTCAGGGTAACCGGCAAATGCCCAGGGATGGGAGCCTGTGTGTTTGTGAAAGGGCCTGAGTTTCCGAGTAGCGACCGGCTGTATTTATCTGAACACTTTAAACAGTAGAACAAAGGTACGGACTTAATACTGCAATAAAAAATTGGAATTACATTAGTTGTGAGCAGTAAACTATAGCACAAATGTTTCTCTGGAAGGAACCTGAATAATCCCGGGTGTTCCCCAGGGACTCAGTCCATGGACCTGTTCTGTTCACCTTCTACATTAGTTTTATATCTTCATTCCTGTTAATCTCATCTTTACGCTGATGACGCATAAAGATTAGATTAATTCCCCCCTTCTTTATAAAATCCAATACCTCCTGAAGGCTCTGACATCACACACTAGAAAAAACGATCTAGAAATAAGTAAATATTTTTCAAATTAAGTGCATTTACCCTTAATTTGAATAGGTAAATGAGTATTTTTACTCTTAAAATAAGATATTTAGATAAAATGCACTTGATATAAGACAATACAATTTTGTTATCTTATATTATGTGTAAATTGTCTATTTCCATTGGCAAGGTGTCTCTTTTACCCTCTCAATTCAAGAACAAATGCACTTATTTTAAGGAAAAATTACTTATCTAGATTTTTATTTTTTCCGGTGCAGAGACTTCACCAATATCTTTTGACCAGGATGTAACAACTCTTCAAATGACACTTTTTTTAAAAAAAGTCTTTTTTATATTAACTAACTCTTAAACTACAAATAATATAATCCAAGTCAGCCAGAGGAAATGAAGAGTGTTTACAGGGCTTCATTTGTCGGAAGTTGACGCTTTCGTGAAAATGTGTGAAGAATGAACCAAGAAAAGCCTTTTCTGTTGGTTCTTAGACCTCTGTAAACTAACTTCTCACACCGTGTGGGTGTCTGTGTCATTCTTTTAGGGCTCAACTAATGATTATTTTGCTAATCGATTAATTTGTCGTTTTATTCCATTAATAATCGGGTAGCCAAAGGTTACTTAAAGAAGTTTTTTTTTCTTTTTATTAAACCAAGTGAAAATAAAACTTTTCCAGTTGAGGAGTTCTGGATAGAACATATTGACAGATATTGACTTTTTCTCTTTTTATCTTCAATGCAAAATGTTTATTTATTTATTAATATTTTTACAATGTTGATATAATTACTGCTCTAAGTGAGTTGCACTGTCAGCTAAAGGCATGTTTTAGAGCCTCTATTCTCCAGTTAGCGATTCACCCATTTCTAAATTAGTTGAGAGTTATTTTAATTAATCAGAGTTAATCCGATTGTTTCAGGCTACATTACTTAACATTCAGCCCTACTTTAAGTATCGAGTCTTTACTATTTAGTGCCAGTATTGGACATTATATCCATCAATGTTATTCCGTATCTCACTATTTTGTTCACCTAATTCTGGGACTTGGGACTCAATGAAGATCATTACTTTTTTTCTGACAAAAAGGAATATCTGCTTCCACTAAACTCCTAATTCTGGGACTTATCAATGAAGATGATTACTTTTCTTCTGACAAAAAGGAATATCTGCTTCCACTAAACTGACTTCAAACGGAGATAAAATTAAAATATTAATAAATCAAACAATATAAATAATACTCAAAAAGATAAAATGACAAAATATGCCTATCATTATGTTTAATTGAATATTACCGATTTATAAATAGTTTTAATTTAAGTCTGAAGGAAACATCTTTTCATTTAAAAACACCAACTAAAATGAATGAGGTCATCTTACTGTGCTAATAGATACAGCGACACAAACCGGTCTGTGTCTGAAGGGGCTGAACTCTAATATGCTTTGCTTTTAATAATATAAACCATCTTTGAACAAACTGAGGTTTAATCATCCCACATCTCGTGCATTTCCCAGTTTAATCAAATTCAGATTTTGATTATTTTCTGTTTTTTTTCCCCCCCAAACTTAATTCACCAAACATCATATTCAACCCCAAAAACTACAGTCTAAGGAATAACAGATTAAGGCTCTGAGCTCTAGATTAAAACAAACGTGAGGCCCTGGTGACCAGGAGGTCCTTCGCTCCAATCTAGCTGTAACAGAACACTCTGCCCCCTTTTATGCTCAGAAAAAGACAACTGGTGCCACATTACAGATGGAGCGGGGAGGGCTGTCATCTGAATCCTAAACTGTCTCTCTTTTCTGCAGCTGGAGCCGTCGATCCTACAGGATATAGCGGCAGACAACACCCACAGCATCTGC